GGGAGTTGAAGTCCACTCATCTTAAAGTGGCCAAGTTTGGACAACACTGCCTTAAGGGAATGGCCAGAAATCTTCCATGCATCTCAAGGGTAGAGCTATTTAAATAAAGGTACTGCTAGGGCCCCATCTCCAACAAACCTTCAAAAAAGCCATCTTCATCCATGTCTCCATACACATAGAGGTATTTTCCTGCTGTAAGAGGAAGTTCCGCTTCAGGATTTTCATTGGGCCCATCAAATGGATTGTAACTAAAGGAAAACATAGATAGTGTCTCTTCTTCATAATCTTGAATGTGGGGGAGGCACTATTGATAACTACCTGTGTTCACATATTGCACTGAGAAATTATTTTGGGCTTGAAGTTGTGTGAACCTAGTTGTTGTGGCTTAGTGTTATGAGTCAACTGTTATGGCTTATTCAACATACCCTGGTTTAAAAAAAGGTTAGTATCATGGAGGAAGGCAGGCATGGTCAATTCTCTGGAAGGGGTTGGGGCAGCAGGAGTTTATATCAGGATTCTGTCAGCCTTACCAGGTAGACCAGACAGGAAACACGAACAGATGAGCTAATTCTACTTTATTGTGAAGCTACATTGACAGAATCTTGCAAGTCTGAAAGTTCAATTCTCCACCCATCTCCTTTATACCCTGAAAAATTAGGGAGGGTCCCTTCTGAGCCTCTTGCCCCACCCATTTTGCAGCTGCAGGCTATGCTGTCTCTTATCTGACCGTTCCCTTGGCAACATCTCTTGGCCCCGTCTCCCAAGGTCTTTCCCAGATACCATTACAGGTCCTTATCAAGAATTTAAATTTAGCCCAAATTTAAGGTTGAAAGTGTTTACTGGATGGGTTGTATTACCTGTATCGGGCAATGCAAAGATGGACTTTTCCCGAATATCTCTGCTTTGAGGTATTAGAATTCTGTTCATTCTCCATCTGCAACAAGAACACGAACAAGATATTAAATAGGATGAGTTGTCCACCTACGCATGTCAAATGACACAGAATGAGATTCCTCTTAATATCAAAGAACAAAAAAAAAAAATCCCAAACCATGTTTCATGAAAGATTAAACCCACATGAGAGTCTGAAGACCATCTTATATATTTAGGAAAGTAATAATTCAGAGAAAGAGAGAGAGAGAGAGATTGAACATAGTAACCCATGCAGAGGCGCTAATAACAAATGGAAATGTGATAAAAAGAACTGCACTGGCCATAGCTTCGTGACTTTTCTTTTGAATCATTCTTCTAGCCTTTTAAGATTGATGAGATGAACAATGACAATAGGCATTCAAGGCCTGGAGATATTTCTTCCAAGCAAAGAGAATCACTAGATATGTTACAATCCAAGAGACTTGCCTGATCTATTTAGCTTATAACTGACAACCCTTATCAGCAACTAATTTTGCTGAAAGGTCACTTTGAGGAAAGAGAAGATAATCCTGTTTCCACACATTTTCTCACTAATTTGGTCATAGACACAACTGTCAAGTGGATGAGGGCTTTCTGTTGCTGATTCATAAGCCATTCTGGAAGGTACTGCTTGAATATTCTGCATGTAAAAACTCATGTCACATCACCAAACCAAGACACCAAGACCAGAACCCTGATAGGAAACTGTAATATACAAAGTCATACAATTTGTCCAATATTGCTTACATGTATTACTTTCATGTACAATGTGTTACCATCAGACACTAATTCTCAGGCTCTTCCCACTACCTCCTGATTGACTGATTATGTACCATCAAGTCGATGGCTGGTGTGGGTCTTCCGGGCTGTGTGGCCGTGTTTTGGAAGTTTTGTTTCCTAACGTTTCACCAGCACCTGTGACCGGCATCTTCAGAGGGCAGGAGCATAGACA